CGCACCCGCGCCCGCTCGCCCCCGCGCCCGCTTGCCAGCGCGCACCCGCGGTCCGTGTCGGGTCGGGTTCGAATTTCCGACCCGTTTTTCTACCCGGGTCGGGTTAGGGTCTGTAGAAATTCAAGAACTGAGAAGAAAGGCTTAGGAGCCAAGAACAGAGAGCAGTTTTTGAAGAGGAAAAATATTATTTCGTATATCATCACAGTACATGCCTAGTATATATAGAGTCTATAAATGCAGTTACATAAAGAGCTACACATGTGGACCTGAGTACAGGAACTAATTACATTTAATTTATTTATCTAATACTCCCCCGCAAACTGACGGTACTTTGGAGATAGTCAGTTTGTTGCGAAGTAGTTGAAACCGCGGGGTGGATAGCGACTTGGTGAGAATATCTGCGGTCTGATCAATAGTGCTAATGGGAAGAATTCGGATGTGATGCTGCTGGATATGATCCCTGACGAATCGGTGATCTATTTCTATGTGTTTCGTTCTGGCATGAAACACCGGATTGTTTGCTAAAGCTATAGCTGACGTGTTATCACAAAAAATGTCAGTTGGTGTGTCTTGTTGGATGCCAAAGTCATTGAGAAGACGACGAAGCCACACAATGTCCGCCGTGAGTGCAGCCAACGACCGGTACTCTGATTCGGTGGACGAACGAGCTACGGTAGTTTGCTTTTTGACCGTCCATGATATTAATGAATCTCCTAGAAACGAGCAGAACCCGGATGTTGATTTTTGGGAGATGGGATCGCTTGCCCAATCAGCATCTGAAAAAGATACAAGCGACAATTTAGATTTTGTTATAGGAATACCATAGTCAGTTCTACCTTTAACGTAGCGTAGCAATCGTTTTAAGAGGTAAACATGCTCTGGCTGCGGTTGGTGCATTTGTTGAGAGATGAGATTGACACTATATGCAATGTCCGGACAGGTTAGACATAAATACTGAAGTGATCCCGTTATTTTCCTGTAAGTATGCGGATCGTTAAGAATGTTATCCGTAGGAATGTCATGCGGAAGCTTAGTACACGTCGGGTTAGCCACGGGATTGCATTTGGACAACTGAGCCGCCTGCAGAATAGAATTAGCATACACGGTTTGTGATAAAAAGTAAGCATTTGTTGTTTTGGTTATTTGAATTCCTAAAAAGGAATTTGCTTCACCCAACTGTTTCATTGCAAACTTCCCATTGAGTTTATCAATGATTTTCCTAATTTCATCAGTGTTGTTGCCAGTTAGAAGAATATCATCCACATAAACAAGTAAGAATATGGTAATGTGTAATTTGCGAAATATTAATAAGGATGGATCAGAGTTACTATGAACAAACCCAATAGAGACAAGAAATGAAGTAAACGTGTTATACCATTGTCTCGGGGCTTGTTTAAGACCATAGATGGCTTTGTTGAGGAGACATACATGATCAGGATTGTTAGTATCCTCAAATCCTTGCGGTTGTAACATATATACCGTTTCCGAAAGAGATCCATGGAGAAAGGCATTGGTGACGTCCATTTGTTGAACGGGCCAATTGTTTTGCAGAGCTACCGCTAAAAGAATTCTGATGGTCGGGAGTTTGGCGACTGGACTAAACGTCTCTGTGTAGTCCAATCCATACTCCTGATGATTGCCTTGCGCCACCAGCCTGGCTTTGTATTTGGCTATGGAACCATCAGAGTGAAGTTTAGTGCGGTATGTCCACTTACAACCCAGGATTGACGCATCTGATGGCCTCGGAACAAGGTTCCATGTACCTTGGATCTGAAGAGCATGGAATTCAGTTGCCATTGCTGTGCGCCATTCCGGGTATTTGCAAGCTTTAGTGTACGTAGACGGAGCAGAAGGACAGTTCTGAATGGTTTTGTGATGTATTAAATTAAGTCGAGTTGCAGGCTTAAGAGAACCCGTCTTAGATCTGGTTATCATGGGATGATTCTTATGCTGAGCCGGATAACCTGCGTGCTGATTAGGTAAGGATTGATTTTCAGCTGGAATGGAATTGTCAGACGGAGGAATTTCCATAGCTGCAGAATGAGAAATTGTATTGGATCCAGGTATTGTAGGAGTAGAGGAGTTTTTGTTCTGGACAACTGATGTTGGAGTTAAAAATTTGAAGGATAATTGCTGAGGAAGATCAGACTCTGGAGCTATCTTAGTATGCAAAAAAGGAAAATAAGTTTCATCAAATTGAACATGTCTAGAAAAAATTATTTTATGAGTGACAAAATCTAAACACTTATAGCCTTTATAA